GCCGAGAGGCACCACGCACCCACACCTGTCCCTCCAGAGACCAGCTGGGCTTCCCGCTGGCCCCTAGGACATGGCTGTGCCCTCCTTCCTAGAGGCTTTCCCAGGCAGACCCTGTGCCAGGGCAACATGAGCCACAGGGTCTCCAGGGCCCAAGGACGGCCCCTGCAGGAGGGGCATGGCTATAGGGACGCCTGCCCCGCAGTACGGGGCCCTGTGGCCTCCTCCCTGGTCATGGCTTGCTCTCTCTGCTCACCTCTGAACACTTCTCTGCTTTCAGAAAACTCCAGAGGTGGCCACGTCACCTGCCACTCCAGGCCTGAGGACCACGGCTGATTCACTTCTCTTGGCACTAACCACCTTGATCAAAGGGATAAGGTTCTGGAGTGGCAGCCAGAATCCGCCAGGGAGAGCCCCACTGACACCTGGCCCGTGGCCCCGAGTCGGATCCTCGTTGCATAGAGCGCAGACCCACACCCGGGGCTGCCGGGGAGAAAGGGCAGAGGCAGGAGGCAGGGGCCCAGGGCCACCTCTGTGAGGCAGAGACTGGCTGACACACAGGGTGGGCTGGAGCTCCACTGCCCTCGGCCAGCACAGAGGGAGCATCAGGCGTCTGGCGGCCAGCAGCCCCTGGGGCAGGAAGCCGGTCTGATGGGTGGCCCAGGCCTCCCGAGCAATAGGTCAGTGCCTCAGAGCCCCGGGTGCTGGCACTCTAAGGAGGAGCTGGCCCAGGGCCCTAGGTCAGACCCCGTCACAGGAAGGAGGGAGGGTGGGCTGGGTCTGTGTGTCCCCTGGAGGTCCTCAGGTAGGTGTGGGCCGAGGCCTCTGTAGGTTGAAGCGGGAGGCCTGGGTCTCCGGGAGGCCCTGGGTTCGGCCTGTAGGGCCTTCAGTGGGGTCCTCCTGAGGCAAGAGGTGGCCTGTGCCGCAGAGCCAGGCGTACAGACCTCGATGGGCTCTGTGCGAGGTGAGGTCCGTGTGCGTGCAGGGCGACTGGGAGAGCCCTGCACCTGTGGCTCTGGTCTCTGACACCAGCTCTGGGGGCTCTCCGAGGGGCCTAGTGGCCCGAGCTTATTCAGGCTCTTGCTGTAGCTCTTCCCTGTGTCCAGGAGTGCCCATCCCTCTGGCCTTGTTGTGTGGTTGTGTCTGCCTGGGTCTCTGCCCAGGGCTCTCTTGGCACCACCAGGACCTCACACTCCCAGAGAGAGCCAGCGGCCACTCCCTGCCTCCTGCTGAGCTTCACCTGCCAAGCCGCCCTGCCCTCTGCAAGTCCTGTGTAACCATTAGGGCCACCACTCGCCACCACTGAGTGGCCACGTGAACCTTTTCATTCCAGCCCTCGGATTCTGTCCACTACTGTGCTGCTGTGCTTGCCAGTGCTGAGGTGCAGGGAAGGTGGGGTCAAGAGCAATGCCCCCACAGAGCCGAGTCTTGTGAAGAGCAAGCCCAGGTCAGCAAAGGGGCAGTGTGCGTTTCCTCCTGCCTGGAGCTGCCAGGGGTGTGCCCAGAGGAGGGGCATGACTTGGGCAGTTTCCTGGACAGGGACGTCCACCCACTGATACATGCAAGGTCACGAGGTTTTGGCGGGGTGGGGGACGGTATTCAGCAAAAGGAACACTTGGAAGTGGCCGTGCAATGCTGATGGAGGACGGGACAGGTCACACCGGAGGGTGCAGCGATGTCAGAAGGTCAAGCGAGGGTCCATCACCAAGGAGTCTGGATTCACGGTGGGACCAGGCACCAGAGCAGCTGCAGGGTCTCTCTGCCTTGAGGAGTGCCCTGCTGAGCACTGCCACCCCCTGCCCCACTTTCGGCCCTGGTAGGAGCTGGTGTCTGCTGAGGGGGGTGTGGTCCTCCCACTCAGCCTGTGCCCCCGGGCTCTCAGAGGATCCTGGGGAAGCAAGTAGCTCATGGTGTGGCTGGGCGTCTTCTGAGGGCTCCAGGCCACTCACCATGTAGACACAAACCAAGGTCCTGGGGTCCACTGCACCACGAGGCTGCTCACCCTAGGCCTCCTGGTGAGGCCTCTCTCTGCTGAGCAGAAGCCGCTCAGGCTCAGGCACTGTGTGCCGGCTGCTTCTCCCAGGGGGCACAGGGTTGAAGAAAGCCCCTTTCTTGGGGAATGCACGCTGACACGAAGCACGTGACGCTGTGAGGGAAGCGTTGCCTGGCGTGGTTCAGGCCTCAGGACAGGCAGCTGAGCATCTCAGAAATGTTTTCACCTGGGGAGGGACAGGGTCCTAGTGAGAGCCGGCAGGAAGTTCAGTTGCTGGACCACCAAGTCAGTGTATTTTCTCATTTTGCGCAGTGAGACGTCCTCGTTCCCGAGGGATGAAGGTTGGTAGGCCTGGCTTAGCAGAGAGCACACAGACAGCACGAGCAGGTTGGAGCCGCCTTGAGGAATGCCGGGCGCACTGGCTGCGCTCACTGCTGCCTGGCCGCCATGACGCTGCAGACCGGAGCTACGGGTCAAGCCCTGCGGCCTTCTCACCGATGCGCTTATTAGTTGTTTGCTGAGTATTTTCCGAGACATTTGATGCAGGTTGCCCCTGGAACTAGCTTCTGCCTTATCAGCGGGGCCAGAGGTAACGCAGGCTTGATATTCATTTTCACTCATTTTTATTAACTTAGAGAAAGAATGCTCTCTGTTCATTTTCTGTCTGGTCATTTGGAAGAAGATACAGTTAATGTCCAGTTTTCTCTCCCACTTCAAAGACCCACTTGCTACTGGTCATGGGCTTGCTCAGGTTGTGCTGGGGAGTCCGGCCCTCAGGCAGGCAGCCTGGATGGGCTCTTGTTGGCCCCACCTCCAGGGCCAGGCTGTGGGACAGGAGGGCGCTTGGTCGTAGGTCTTCAGCAGATTCACAGAACTCCTTCTTCCTCTTCCGCGAAGGGGCCCTGATCTCCTTTCATCTGCATCTGCCATTCTCAGAGCCACCTCCCCAAGGGACGACAGTGTGCGACGTGAACACGGCTGATCAGACCCCTTCCTGGGACCGGGAAGTGGAGACCAGGAGAGCTGCTGTGGCGGAGCCTGTGGTGCCGATCGGAGGTGAGTGCATCCACAGGGTCCAGCCCGAGGTGTGCCACGCGGTGCCCACACTAACCTCCAGCTCAGAGCCTGCTCCCTGTCCGGCGGGGGGCTTCACATCCAGGTGCTGGGAAGGTGGTGGCTGTGGTGGTCTCATGGAGCTGCCCGCCAGCTCTGCAGCAGAGAGGCCTCTGCAGCTGCAAGGAGAAGCAGGAGGAGAAGCAGGTGCTGGTCCACACCAAGTGGGAGGTGGACACCTGCTCAAGGCTGCACTTGGTGTTGAGAGATGGGCAGGACAGGAAAAGGAGGACAGGGGAATTGGGTGACCCTTCCTGAAAGGACCATGGGGCCCAGCGGCTGCTGAAAGTTAGGACTGAGTGGGAGGCCTGGCCTCCAGGGAGGACAGAGAGCCGAGGGCTGGTGGGCAGTGCTGGGGGGAGGTGCTGGCTGGGCTGCAGTCCCAGGGCCGCTCTTCTGATGACCTCAGCCCCTGATCCTCCGGAACTCTCTGAGCCTGAGGATGGTGCCTCCCCAGGGAGGACCGGGCGGTGACACAGAGTGGCAGTTATCCCAGGACACTTCCTGGTCACAAGATACATGGCTGGGGGCATGCAGCCCTGAGACACAAGGAAAGGGACCCTGTCCAAGGAGCTGCAGGTCAGGGGCAGGAGTGGAAGCAAATGCAGGCCAGGGCCCTGGATTGTGGAGCCATTGGGTGGACAGAGGGAGGTGAGGGGCAGCTGAGTGTGTGTGGGATGAAGGTGGCTTGGGAGAGGGACAAGGCCCAGGCCCTGGGGGGACTACATGGTGTGGAGTGCTCTCGAGACACCTTCTGGGACCAAGGACAATGTGGTGGCCCCTAAGTGTGCCAGGAAGGCAGCTTTCACAGAGTAGGTGCTGGAGGAAGGGCCAAGGCCCTGGGGTGTGGCCTGTCTCGGAGGACGTTCTACCTGGGGGTGGAAACCTCAGGACCATGGGAGGCCTGGGACCCACAGCCGCTGCCCAACTGCCCCCCAGCTGGGGGACACCAGGAGGACAGCCTCGGCAGCCCAGGTGGAGACGGATCCTCCAACCGGCCAGCACAGCTGCATACCTTCCTTCTGAGGCCTGGGGTCTCTGGCCCCTTGGCCTCAGTGACGTGTCTTCTCTACAGTGCAGAAGGGACCCTCCAGACCATCCGAGCCTCGATCCAAAGGAGCCTGAAGCTTCAGCCTGGGCCTCCGGAAGTCCTGCCTGCGGCAGCCCCGAGACTCCCGAGAGCACCTTCTGCCCACTGGAGCAGGCCCTGGGAGGGCTGCACCCCACGCTGTGGGGTGGGGGTTGCCAAGACCCTTGTACCTCTGATGCCCTGACGCCGTGGCTCTGTGGTCACCATGTGCAGAGAGAACTGCCCACCTGAGCCCGACTTCAATTCCTGACCCACAGATTCACGACCTATAACAAATGATTGTTTATTTACTGTCAGCCTCTAAGGTTTGGGGTAACTTGTTACGCAGAAATAAATATCTGGAACCCTTAAGTCAACCCAAGTGACTTTGCCTGGGGGCTGGATATCTGCCCACGCCCCTCTGGCAGAAGTCGCACTTCTTGGGGGTGGAGTTTGGCAGGCTCAGAGGTGAGAGCTGAGCTGGCCACCAGGGGCGCCTCGTCTCTGGCCAGCACTGCAGACGCCACCTGGCATCCCAGGGTCTGCCAGGGCCCGCCCTGGTACCGGGCTCATCCATCTCCATCACTGGCGCACCTGGCCCGGCGTTCCGCAGTGCAGGCATTCCGTCCACGGCCAGGACGGATGGTGAGGGAGTGGATCCGAGCCTGCCGTCTGCCAGGAGCCGCATCTGCTTCGCCACGGGAGAGGCAGCGCCAGCCCCCAGTGCTCTTGGAAGCCAGAGGGAAACACCGTGGCACGAGCAGAGGCAGGAAGCCAAGGCGGGCAGAGAGGGTACCCAGGCAGCCCCTGGCCCAGGGCTGAGGGGAGGCTGGGAAGGGCAGGGAGGCACGGGGAGGGAGGAGCAGTGATGGCCAGTGGGAAGAGCCGCAGGAGGCCGAGGCGGTGAGTATGAGGGCGGCCAGTGAGCCGGAGGTCTGCTGGGGACCCCATGGGCTCTGGGAGGGTTGACCACGCAGGGTGCGGATATGTGCGCCAGGCAGCTGCTTGGAGTCCTGGAGTGCACATGCTCACTCTGCCACTCAGAGCCTGCCTTCCTCAGGTCAACCTGAAAGTCAAGAAAGAAAAGAAAACGCCGAGCCCGCCTGGGGGAGTCGACCTTCACAAGTTGAGGAAAGGCACCTCCTGGGGAAGGTGCAGGTGGAGAGACAGGGCTCCGGCCCAGGGGCAGCCCAGGGGACAGAGGGGACTCCAGACCAGTCGGACCATGGCTCCCTGCCTGGGAGCTCCAGTGCCCAGGCTGGGATCAGAGTGCAGGACAGGGGTCATCTGATCTGCCACTGGAAGCTGAATTCTGCCCCAAGTGGCTTCTTAAATTAGCAGGTTTTATTTTAAGAGGAGTTTAAACTCAAGGGGAAATTCAGCCAGAGTGCACAGTTCCTGCACACCCTCCACCTCCTGCCCACTGCCTGGCGCTCGCCTGACTCCTTGCAACGGAGGAGCCACACTGACCGGTCCGCACCACATGGTGTCCACAGTGTGCGTCAGGGTCCCCTCCTTGTGTGCACTCTGTAGCTGTCTGCACCCTGGGGAGCCCATGACCCCAGGGCAGGGTCTGAGGCCACCGGCAGGACCCTCCCTTCCCACTTGGTGGCTCTGCCTGCCTATTTAGGGTGTCACTCCACACGCCTCGTGTCCTCAGGCCTGGCAGGAGCCTCCTGGAGTCAGCGTCCCCTGGACTCCCCTCCCAGCCCAGGCCTCAGCTTGGGCAGCTCTGCCTCCGGCCAGAACACCTTGCGCTACCCCACCCCAGCCAGAGTAGGGTGTTCACTCCAGGCCTCTGAGAGTGGAGTGGCCCAGGGCTCAGGGGGGTGTGAGGCTACTCACTGTCCTTGCCCGACTCCCCTCAAGGAGAGAGGCACACATTCTGCCCGTGGCAAAGTGGACCTGGCATCCACAAAATCCAGCTAATCAACTGGCAATTTCCTTACACCCAGGTTTTCAGTGAGTGCTGGTCAGTCACAGGATGGTTTTGTGCTGTCATCTATGGGCGAAGGCGGGGCAGTTGGCCGAGCCTCAGGGGACCGGGGCTCTGGGGACAGAAAGGGGCCGTCGTTGAGTGGAGGAGGTGGGCTTCCAGGTGTGGGTCCAGCAGCAGCTCCACGCCTCCACACTCTAAAAAACTCCATCTTAACATTAGGGCCGCCAACTGCTCCCTGACAGAGGGGAAAGTGGAAGAGCAGGGAGATGGAGTGGCTGACCAGTCCTCTCCTGAGACAGGCTGGACACTGCAGGCCCAGGCCCAGCAGCAGCAGCAGTGTATTGTCGACTGCCCCATGTCCTGCCTCTGGACTGTAAGAGATGACCTGCGTCGTCCGAAGGCTGCCTTCCTGAGGTGGGTGTGTCCTCCTGGGACCCGCTGGTAAACCCCGGGCTCCCAGGAAATTCCAGGCCCTCCGTGGAGGGCGGGGTCCCCGGGACTGCCCAGGACACTGTGGGAGCTCAGGCCCCTCCACCCCACCTCTCCACTTCTGCTGGGAAGGGGCGAGCTGCACCTTGAGTGCCTACAAGTGACGTTGTGAGTGTGACACTTGGGAGCCCAGTGTTCCTTGAGGACCCCTGGGTGGGGGCCCTCTCCAGGTCCTCTTCCTGGCGCCTTGGCACGGGCACACCTGTTCATTGCAGGACAGGAAGTCGCAGCTCAGGGAGTCGGAGCCGCAGCTCAGAGCTGGCGTGATTCAGAACGAGATCTCGTTCCTGAAAGGAAAAGAACTTCTGCAGTTCCTCATCAGCTCATCCGTTCCCGTGATTTTTCCGAGAGATCAGTGTTGTGTCTTAGGGTAGAACATCCGCGGACTCTATCTCTGCCATCGCGTGTTGGCTCTGAGGTTGGAGGGAGCCGTGGGGAGCCGCGTGGGGGACTAATCTCCGTGGAGAATGGCTGGTCCTCGGGCTGAGGCAGGAAATGTGCCCGGTGAGCTGGGAGCGTCTGTGTACCAGAGCCAGGAGGAAGGACGCGTTCAGAAACCAAGTGCAGCCATGAGGGGTGTCCTGTGGGACGTGCAAAGCCAGGCCTCAGTGCTCTGGGCTCTCGGGAGAGACGCTGTGCCCAGAGGTAGAGCTGTCTCGGTGGCTTCCACCTGTTCTTCCCCTGCCCTGCCAAGAGCGGCCAGCCGAGGCACGGCCAGCACGGCTCCTCTGGCTCAGGCCTGCTGCCTGCTGCTGCTGGGTGATTCCCCTCGGGTCTCTCCATCTGGCCCCAACCTCGCCCCAGACCAAGGCTGGCGTCTCCTGGCCTCTGGCTGCAGGCTGCCCCTCATGTCTTGGCTGCCTAGAAGCTGGCCGGACCGCGGTTCTTTCTGAGTGTGTGTCCCTCAGCTCTCCTGCACAACGTGCCGGGTCCATGTTGTAGTCATCAACAGCACACTTAGCAGTGCAGGCTTTCTTCTAGATAGTTCACACACACACACACACACACACACACA